AACACATTTCATTACACCAAATAATGTTATTTTTAGCAACATCATTCGACCCCTTTTAAGCCCATTGATACTGTATTTATGTAAACAAGACACAAATGACAAATGAACGCCAACCTGAAGAGCGGTTTGTGGTTGTGAACGATGCCCTCACTGGTTTTGTCATTGGCGTTGGTGAAGAGCACATCCCAGGCTTCTGGAAGAGTTTTGGGATCCACAGCAAACCCATGATTCTGAGAGGTGATGAAACAGCGATTTGTTCCTTTATGGATGCAGGGTTGGTTATGGCCACGATTACCATACCTGAAATACACAAAGACCATGAATGAAGTTGTAGCTTTTAAGATGCACAATTAAGTGCTACTCAGACATAAACCACATCTGAATGAACCCGCTGACTGTTCTCTTCTGAAGAAAGGCCTGTTGACTGGCTTCTCACCCAGCCTTGAGCACAAGCAAAACAAAGCAACTATCCCAGGACTCTTAGAAAAACACTACCGCTTATCCCAGAACCAGACTAGCCTACCCCAGCTCCTGACTAGAATGCTGAGCTCAGCAACTAGATATCACACCATGTTGCTCCTTCATGATAACTGGAATGGCATGGGAAGGCCAAGGAAGCAGCCTTTTGTTGTTCCTCTGCAAACCCCTTAATCCACTAACCATAAAGTGATGCTGTCTGGTTTAATCACACAGCAAAAATCCTAATATTATTATTATGCTGTATCTTTATCTTGTTTTAATGATTTTTGTTTTAACTACAAAACAAGTACAATTTTCCTTCAGATACAAAATATTAAGAATGTATCTTGAACATAAGAGCATTATACTACTAACCTCACTAAAAGAATACTTTTCTAAAAGCTATTTTTACTAAATATCTTTCTGCAGCTTCAAATGCATTCATTTTACTTTTGTTTACTTCATGTGATTTTAATAACATGCGTAGCTATCCATCAATTTGTCTTTAACAAATGTGATGACAACATCCAATAAAGGGTTAGTCCATCCAAAAATAATAATAATTAAAAAAAAAAGGTGATATCCCTCATGTTGTTACAAATCTGTATGACTTTATTCTGTGGAACATAAAAGATGACATTTTAGGCAATGTCTATATTT